GCTCATTAGAAAGGTTAGACAAAGAAAAAAGAATATAATCATCAGTGGATCAAAAATAGACTCTGAAGACCCAAAAACATTGAAAGAGGGAATGACTACTATATTAGAAAATCATCTTGGAGTCAAAACCAATATTAAAAGAGCACAAAAAATAGGAACAAAAACATGCTTAATTGAACTTAAAAGCGAAGAAGAAAAAACAATAATCTTAAGAAACAAATACAAACTTAAGAATGTGAAGATCGAAAAAATATGGATTACAGAGAATCTCACAAAAGGAGAGAGAGAGAAAATGGAAGCTTTAAGAGATAAAGCAAGAGAAATGAGGGAAAATGGAAAAATGGTCAAAATAGGATACAATAAAATCACAGTGGACGGCAAGGAATGGAGATGGTGCTATAAAGAAGAAAAGGTGTTGGAAATAGCGTGTTCAAAAAACTACCAGAGCAACATAAAAAGAACCAAGGAGAGGCCAAGCAACGAGTAGAGAAAGAAGAATTACTAAATAAACCGGACAATGATGACAAATGTTTAGTTTTAAGTAGTAATAGGAATAGGATTAGAAATGATAAAAATAGATTATAAATCAATTTTAAGCCAAACCCCGGAAATGTCCCTAATAGAGACGCTTTCACAAATCTGAAGATATACCTGAACCAATAGTGTCACGAAATCCTTAAACTCTGGACTTGCTATAAATACCTTGAAGTTAGTTTCTATCACAGAACTTTGTTTAAAACCAAATGGCAACCTAGAACCAGAAAAATAATATTCTCCGCAAACTTGTCAGCTCAAAATAGGAAGCACATTCTTCCACCCTTAAAACGTAGACTTAAACTCTACGCTTATGCTGCCGAATATACCTTGCTAGTATGGGTGACAAAAACACATACTTAACACGTAAGTATATTTAGCTATAAATTAGTCAGTCATCAGATCATCACATCTGCAAGATATACAAAAAAAATATAAGCTGCTCCTCTCCATCTGAACCCTCGAAAGGAACTTCCTTATGGTTGTTATCTTCCTTAAATTTGCCTGGAGGACTCTTGCCTGCAAACACCGGTTAACCTGTGTGAATGTGGGGTGGTTCATCAAACTTTCTTGGTTGACTTTTCCATTCAAATCGCTCTTTTCTGAAGGGACAAGGTTTATTTATTTGAACTAAACATGTTACGTATAGCCAGTAAGCTTTTACTTACTGGCTATACTTAACATGTTTAGTTCAAATAATAAAGATCATTGCAAATTTGAAACTAACTCCACTTATATTGATAACATATTACCCCTAAATGGAAAATAAAACATTCAGAAGTATGTAATATTGGGGAAGTGGTATAATGCTTGTTAGATAAATTCTTTCTTTTTTTGTGCACTACTACCCATTTTTACACAAAAATATCTATTTTAGCACTTAAATATTTATTTTGAGATAACCTTTTATCCAAACTTATATGTAGTACATAGATAAAACCAGAAATAAAATAATAAAAAAGCTGTATACAAGATATCATAAAAAAATGGATGAAATAAAAGAAGTTCTTATTAATCGGATTCTTAAATAAAACTTATGAAGACATATTCACGTTAACAAAATACATTAGGAAATTTCCGCATATGAAACAAAATCCAATTTGGTAATGAAATCCTTTTGTACCTATAAAGCTATTTTTAGAGAAGCACGTACCTACCAAAAACAGGTAGTTAATAGTATACATATCTGTTACACACTGTAATGCGTATGAATGATAACAAAACTAAGGAGTCCATATAAACCGTCCAGACTTTACGCGAGAATTATACATCTTATAGCAGAGTTGCCAAACTATCAGAGCTTACTTAAACCGATATACATATGGTTCCAATATACAGTGAAAAGATCTGAACGACCCCTATAATATATACACGTGAACTAAGCGATATACATTTATGATACAGGGATAATTATGGGCTCCAAAATTTTTTTAAAAATTATGAAACTATACATGTTGACGCATCGATAGAGCCAATATTATGGAATGGTCAAGTGAGCTCCGTATATCGGTGTCCACTTGACCACGGAGCTCACCTGAACCTGAATTTTAACATGGGCGGAGTCCACTTTATGCCGTAAATATATATATATATATATATATATATATATATATATATATATATATATAAGGTTCTTGAACTCCTAAGTGGAGCATAGAGCTTCAGTGAAAACGCGCCATCGGGTTCTATTTTGCGCTAAGGCCTTCACCTCATTCCAAGACTTTCCTTGTTTTCTTATCTCGTCCATGATGGATCTTCTCCAAGTTTGTACTGGGCGACCTTTTTTTCGTTTTCCTTTGGGATTCCACTCTAGGGCAGTCTTTGCAATACTGGAGTTATTTTTTCGGAGTGTGTGACCGATCAAACCCCACTTTCTGGACTTTATTTCATTTACTACCCTCTTTTGTTTGATCAGGTGTAGTAAATCTTCGTTTCTGATGATGTTAGTCCAGAAAATATGAACAATTCTTCGTAGACATTTATTAACAAAGACCTGCAGTTTGTCTGTAAGGGTTTTTGTCGCTTTCCAGGTTTCACATCCGTAAAGTAGTACAGGCATGACATTTGACTGGAATATGCGGATCTTTGTCCTCGTAGTGTAGTCTCCAGACCTCCAAACAGGGTTGAGCATGCTGAAAGCTTGTTGCGCTTTTCGTATCCTCATATGAATATCGTCTTCTGTACCTCCGCTTTCTGTTATGACACTTCCAAGATACGTAAAGTTTTCCACATTTTCAACCTGCATGTTATTAATGGTGAATAGCGTGTTGTTTCTTGTATTTATTCTCATGGATTTGGTTTTACCAATATTGATTTTCAAACCTAACCTAAACTTTATAGGTATATTTAATGAAGATTCTTTTGTAAATTTAACTTAAATTTCAGACAATGTGAGTTTTGCCCCAAAATGTGGTTAACTATGAGTTTTGCACCAAAATCTCATGGATAATGTTAGTTATGATGTAAAATATTTGAACTTTACTTTATTTATATTTTAACCTTAAATTAAACACTAGGACCAAGAAAAATAAGGTGAGTTTTGTGGGTTAGAAATAAAAACATCAAATAAATTAATATATTTTAATTTTAATAAATCATTACATTTATTTTACAGTGCTATGATGTTTGACTCTTTAAAATTAATTTTTATTTGTTTTGTAAATCAAAGATGCTTTGATTATTTTAGATATACTGTTTGGAATAATGTATTTTTAAACATTAAGGATGTTGACTTCTTCGATGTGTTCACAAACTGACTCGGGTTCTACATTGTCATTAGCCCCATCGATGACATTTTTATAGAACAGTAAATCCTCACTGTCCCTCCACTGGTTCCCATGCTTCTTGAACAAGTTATTGATGTCAACTTTCTTCGCTGGTTTTGCGAGTTTAATAAAGGAATCAAGTTTGGGTTCATGTTCAAAAGCAGTTTTCTTTATTTTCTTTATTCCAGTCAAAGACGTCACAATCTTGGCCAACCTTTACTATTTTCGAATACTACTTTGAAAATATCAATGTACTCATGGTTTTTAAATCACCTCTTTTTTTCTCATAAACTTTTCTCCAAATACTCGATATGGTGGAAGACAGCTATGACCTGTCATAGGAAAAAAGAATTCCATCGTGCTTACATTTTTTGGTGCATGTTTAGAAAGCCAGAAACAAGCCATGGCTACGACTACTGAATTTTTGTTCTGGCCATCACATCCATTACTCACTAATGGCGCAGTTGTAATAGAGCTTTCCATATCTGTTGTTTTGAGTGTATCAAAAACAAACGAAGCAATTTTATTAGATCCTTTTTTAAACTCGTTTTCTGTCTAAATGTAGGATGTCACATCTGGAGTCATTTTAGAATTCTCTTTGACCACAGTGAAGTTGTAAAGATAGATTTGCCTACTATAGTAAGAAGCTTAATCTGGTAACTTGGATAAAGGTAGGTTTTTTGACAATTAAAACTAAAAACCAAAATGTTTGGGTCAGCGCATTTTAGTGATTCAAAAAAACTCTAACACTAACTTATGAACACTTTTTCAGTCATGATCTCTTGTTTTTTGTTATATTTCTGTGCGTGTTTTAATCGTTCCTCTAACTGTAGATAAGTAGAGCAAACGTCTGGTCTAGGAGATCCAAAGCCATGACGAAAATCATGTGTTGGATAATGTAACTTATGATTCAGAATTACATTTTCAGTATAGTTTTTCGATATTAAAATGTGAGTTTTGGTTAAAAATATTATCACTGTTCGATTCCCCTGTAAAAGACGAATTCATTGATATACATAACTGAAAATATGAAAATTTGGAGAATGTGAATTTTGCATCTACACAGTTCAACAGTTTTGTCTCATCATTTTTTTTATCAGGATTTTACTTACTACTTTTAGAATTTCTTTTATCAGTACTATAAGTTGTGTTGCCATATTAAATTGTTTCATTGTTTTTATTAAGTACTAATGAAGTATTTAATAATTAATTTCAGATTACGCCCTGAGTGCACCTTGGTGTATCGATGTATTTTTATGATTAAAGAAGCCATTAGTTATTTTTAAGTTGTCAGTTTCCCATAAGTGTATAAGTTTATTGCCATAACCATTTATTTTCTTCTCCCTAAATGGACCTTTATGTGAGATATTATACATGTAATCGATTTAGTGTAAGACATTATACTTGTATCCAATCGATTTGTTGCTAACGTTCTGTACACGTTTTTAAAATATGTTTTAAAAAATTGATCAAATCTAGATATTTTGAATGTATCACGTACGTTAAAGCGTACAAGAAAAATGTATTTGTTTCAAAAAGAAAATCTTCAAAGTTGTTTTATATCTATTCCATCCACCATGCGGATCTGGTTTGCACTTCTTTGTATATTATTACACAATATTATCTGTGTTTGTCTCAGTTTTATTCAGTTATATTTTTTTATAACAATTATATATAATATATTGTTTATTGTGTTTCTAGCGACTACTGTCTTTGTGATGAAGATGACCATGAAAATGTCAGTAAACTAGAATCAACATGGACCACAGCTGATTCGCTGCCTAAAGGACAATCACTGGCTAACTCATCTAGGTCTAAACCGACATCTTCTATAAATTATAGCATGCAATGTCAAGCTTCTACATCAGACAGACTGACAGTGGATAGTACGCCGCCAACTACCAATTTAAAATATTTTTATTCTGAAAATGAGTATAATTCTCTACACGATGATATTTTTCCGAAATTTAAAGAACCCGTTTACAAAAAAGGACAACGAAAATATTTAAAAGGTCATAAAGTTTACATCAATAGTGATGACCATCATTACGAAGGACCTAAAGTTTTTGCCGACCGGCCAAATGTTTTTATTGAAGAGCAAAATCTTTATTATGATGATCAAAGTACAGATATAAATGATAAGACGAGGCGTGATAGTACTGAAACTTGCGAAAAATATGATTCGCCACGTTTAAATGAGTATAACCATAAAACTACAAGGTATGTGTTACTTGTGTTAAATTTAAAAACAATTACAAAAGGAATTTAACACTTAATTTGGCAAGCCTTAATAAAACAGTAATTTTTGGGAAATTGTTGTTTAGGTAGTGTGATATGGTATATCACAAGGCATTTTGACCATTTTTATATTATTTTTTTTTTTATAAACAAGGGAGATATGGAGTGTATCCTACAAGATACATAGTCAAATATCCAAATTTATTGTAAAAGTATATTATGTATCTTATAAGAAATAAAGTCGAAGATTGTAGGTAAAACCTCACAATAAAAGTAGAAACTTAAAGTACTAAACTAGTTTTCTAATGAAAAAAAAAGAACGCAAAAAGTAATAAAGTAATATATAATAAAGTAACATAATTTTTCATTCTAGTAAAAAACAACCAAAACTGTTGTAAAACTTACTTATGTGCTATTATGAAAAGAATAAAAACAATTTCTATCCTTTACTAAACACAATCTAAGAGAACATTTTGAACATGACCAGTGTGTCTCTCCTGATTTACAATACCTACACCTGCCTTTGGTATCATAAATTGGAAAATGATCAACTTTATCAAATCGTATTTCCTCTGATGGTCTCGGCAGAACGCACTTTTTAATTTTTTTAATTTCTTCGGTTCGCTCGGCAAACACTCTCTTATTTTTTCTGCCCTTTGTTGTTAGAGTCTCTGCTATGCACTTTCTAAAATATTTGAGATTATAACCTTTGGACGTGTGTTGTAAAATATTTTTATCCCTTCTATATAGAATCCATGCATTGTTTATACAGAAATCTAGCATTTGTGCAAATATGGAGAGGTACCAGCGACGAGTTTTTAGGGGAATTCTCTAAAGGCTTACCAGCATGTCCATCAGATCTACTCCACCCATGTGAGCATTGTAGTGTTTTATGAGAGAGGGACAAGGGACTTCAATTTTTGCTCGCTGCCTTTTATCATACCTTTTAATTGTTTGGACAGGTGTAGAAGATATATATGTACTAGCAAGTAAAACAGGTGTGTTGTCAAACCATTTCACAACATTTATTTTATTAATGTTGTCAGTTTTTGAACAAAACGACACTCTTCCTTTTTTCTTCAGGGACTTATCATCTTCTAAAACAAAATTTTTTAATCGATCATTTCTTATTGTTCCCAGGGCTAAAATTCCAATTCTAAAGATTCTTCTTTTTGTGAAAAAGTATGCTGCCTAAAAGTATCATCCCCCCCATAAACTATGAAATCGTACACAAATCCTGAAATGCCGGCTCTAACAAATATTTTAAAGCCCCATTTTTTTGGTTTTGATTTTATATACTGTCGTCGTGAACCAGCCTTTTTCCCTTTATAAGGGACCATCATCTCGTCGATATTCTGGCGTCTTTCTTCTTCTGTAATAGAACAATTTCTTCTCACTATATCCAAAACTGGGCGAATTCGGTAGTACTGATCGTTGTTTATATGATCGTTATTTGCAAAGTGAATATACCGGCGAATTTTCTGATATTGTTTGAGAGGCATTATTTCTGATATTTGATTGTATCTGAAGTTTACACTCCAGTAGTCCAAGTATGATGGCATAGCCACTATACCCATCAAAATCTGTATCGCTATGAAGTCACTTATCTCATCTTTGGTAACGTTTATCGACTTGCCTTTTTGCTGAACGGAATAAAGGTTTGTATTGTTGACAATCAACTCAAATAGATCGTCTGAAAAAAAAAACATTTTGAAACATTCTAATGGTGACTTAATTCATCCACATCAGAAAAGTTATTTTCGGGAATGTTCACAGGATATTGGAATTCTTCTTTCGTCCAGTGGTATTCAAGCAAATTCTGTCGTTTCGTGCGTTTACTTTGTAGTTTGCCTTTAGGTTGGTTAGTATTGTCGTTATTATCTTTAGATGGTCCAGGTATCTGATGTTGTGATCGTGTTTTTAGAGGACTCAAAGCAGATTTAGGTATACTGCAAATAGATTTAAGCGTACTATAAGCAGATTGATGTGTTGATAGCTGTGGTTTTAAATGTTCAGTTTCGGATGCTGAATCTGTATCTGATAATGTATCAAAAATTTCTTGAACTTCAGGAGGTAAACTTTCGACCTCAGAACTTTCATCGGTTTTAGAACTTTGCCTTCTAGATGGATCCATATCAGAACTTTGAGTCCTAGATGGTTTAGTATAACTTTAATATTCTTTATCGCCCGAATTATCTATATCAGAACTTTTAGTTCTAGATGGTTTAGTATAACTTTCATTTTCTTCATCGCTCGAATCATCCATATCAGATGAAGGTGGTGGAAGTAATGCTAAAATATTTTCGGACCTTGATGATGTCATATTGGTATTTATCTGAAACCAAGGAAACGCTATACTTACCTATATAACTAGATGAATTTATTTTGAAACGTTTCATTAAACAAATTTTAATAATGAAATTGGATATGTGGAAGTGTGGGATACGTACAAAACAAAAATATTTCACAATACTGTATATATGGAAAAGAAAACTATAAGATATATAACAAAAAAGTTCCATTAAGCTATATCTTTGGCAAAGTAGATTATAGGATACAGCTTAAAAAATGGTTCGGTATCGTCACCTTTGAATATTTATATATAAATATTCATATATGTATGATTACAACACATCATCATACTACAATTTCACCTTCTGTATTAAAACAAAATACTTATTTTTACATTAATACTGAAAAAAACTTACCAGCCTTTTTCTAATCGGCGTTCACTAGGCAACCATCTTATAAACAATTGTGAATAACTTTGAATGATCACTATAGATGGCTGTAGCTACTATTAGCTTTCTGAGTTTAGTAGACGTAGACGTAATACATTTAACAGACAATAATGAGTAAATTATTTAAGATATAGACAATTTGAATATTTGAAAATGACATAGTCTATAAGATACAAATCCAAATTAAGGGTTACCTAAACAGAATTGTTTATTTAAACTTTTCTTATTGTTACTTTTCTTGTTTTATCTTTTTTTACATGCGTCACTTAATATTTGGCTGTCCAATATAATGTAATTTTAACATACATTTTACTGACGATAAAATATAAGGAATAAGCCTTTTTATCTATGTGATTACTTGCTACCACATAAGTAATTCAAAATATTACATAACCTAACTTGTATATACCTAATTATTTTATTTCTTTACGACACAATCTACCTAATGAAGTGTTCAAAATGTCCTCCGTTGTTAACTCAAATATCATAAACAATAGTGGAATGCGTCTATTATAGTTAGGCATTTTTCTCTAGAAATTAATCTGGGTTTATCGATAATAAATTCTTTTCCTTAGCACTGCACCACTTGCTGATTTAGTTTTATAAATTTCTGTTTTTAAGTGTCGCCAATGAAAATATTCTTTAGGATTAAAATCGAGTGAACAAGGAGGCCAAAAACTACCTAATCTACCAATTCATCGTCCGAAAAATGTCTGATTTAAATAACGCCAAACATTTACACTAAAATGAACTGGAGCTTTTTCTTGCTGAAACCATATCTCATAAAAATTCTCTCTAAACTTGTTTTTCATGGCTGGTACAATTTCATTTCTAAGTATCATTTCATTGCTTGTTAAATTTCCAACTATTAAAAACAACCTAACAAATTTAGTACTTACCATACCTGATCACACAGTTTTTGTGGTCTTTGAGTATGGTTCTTTCGTATCCAGTGTGGATTTACCTTACTGCAATACCTTAAATGTTGGCGATTTACATTTGAAATCATCAAATTTGAAATAAACATACTGCATAATAGGCGTATCTCGGTTTTTGTACATTTCAAATTATCCATTTAAGGGATAATTAGGAGTTTCCAGACTTTTGTTCCCCTCTGTATAAGTTTGCCGTAGTTGACTTTATTAAATGCATTCTCCAAATCAACAAAACACATGTAGACATATTTTCTTTGATCATGGCATTTTTTCAACAGTATATGGAATGTAAAAAAAGCTTTCCGAAACCGAACTAATGTGCGCTTAAATTGGATTCACACTTCTGAATTATCCGGTTATGAATTATTTTGGGAAACATAACTCATTATACTTCAATCTTAAATCATTGCAATTGGGAGGATTGCTTTTTTATGCAGTGGAATGAAGATCGATTCCAGCCATTCTTGTGAAATTTCTCTTCCTTTTTATAAATTGGAATGAATATAGTTATTAATGGATTTAGATTGTGGTCTTCAATTAATTTGATTATTTCTGAACATGGTTACCAAAATCTTAGATTTTGTTGGTTTCTCGAACAAACCATTGTTTGTTGTAAGTCCTTTGATTACATCAATTTTACCTCACTTCGAAGAATTTTGGAGCCGGTTTTACAAGATTATGCAATAGATACTATAGATTGTGCAATTCTCGCTGGCCTAAACCCTCAGGAATGAGGGAAGGTGGTCCAGTCGCACTATCCATATCTGAATTGGACTGGAGCATGCATGGTCACGGTCCGTGGACATATAGGTCTTATATGCCCAGAAGCTAGATAGAAATATCGTTTTAAAAATAAATGCAAATAAAGATTACTTAATTCTAAGAATCTGCAAGAAATGTGTTAATTAGTCTGAGAACTAAAGATCTGTAAGAGAAATGATTAGTTATCGCACCGAAGAATAATTACGCAAAATAAGTAAAAATAAAAAAAGTGAAAATTTCTACTCGATTTCTAAGTCGATTTCGCAAAAAATGTTATAGGTGTGTTTGTCCTGGTGACTTCGGGAATAAACAACAATTACATGATGCGAAATATCGACATAAAGCAAGTTATTAATATTTGGAAATTTTCGGCTATCGAAAATTTCGTAAGTCGATGAGAGCTATGAAAAATGTAAAAAATATTCTAAAATATTTCAGTCAAAATAAAATATTAGAAAAATTATTCTAAGTTATTTTGGGAACTTTGACACATGGAAAGGGTATGTAAAAGGGTAGTGAAGCTCAATACATGACGTCGTATCCT